TAACTCTGTTTTTTCCTTCACTGATGCTGCCAGACCTGCTGGGCTTTTCCAGCAACTTTGTTTTTGTCCCTTAAAATGGTATTCTTTGCTTTCTGATTTTACTATCAGTGGAAACAATTGCTTCTTCCTTACTCTATCAAAAACCTTTCTAATCTGCAACATCTCTGTTAAACCTTTCTTTTTACTTTCTCTGATCTTAGGAGAGCAACCCAGCTTCTCCAGTCTTGCCAAATAACTTAAGGCATTCATTCATCCTTGTAAATCTTTTCTACAAACTTCCCAAGTCTTTCATATGCTTAAAATCTGTTGCTGAACTTTGGATACAACATTCTAGGCCTTAAAAAGTGATTATAAAGATTGAGTATAATGATTTGATTTGTACTCTATGCCTTTGTTTACAAAACAGAGCATCCTGACATTGTTTTTGACAGGCTTTTTGACATGTTTTATCATTCTTAAGGATTTTTATATGTAAAGCCCCCAGGTGTCCATTGCCACATCTCTTAAAATTGTGCCATTAATCCATATCGTTTTTCCTTATTCATCATTTCAGTTTTTTAAAACATATTACTGCCTGAGAAACAAATCAAATCCACAAGTTTTCCACTTAAGAATGTTTGAACAGGAATAATCTTATCTAATCGCAGGTTGTATTTTGGAGGACAGTTATTGAACCACCAGAATCACTAGTAAATTCCAAAAAGCTAGCTTTTGAAAGATGAAACTCGAGCCAACCTTTATATATCTTTTAAAATTTTATTTACAAAGATGCACATTACAGAACATGCACCTCCTACCTCCAGTATCACAGATTATGTTTATCCCATTTTATAGGAACACGAGTGAATCCACAATTAATGCTGAGCATATTCATAAAATAAAACACATTTAATATGGAAGTAGCAATTTGTGTGTAACAACGTAATCAATGAACCTTGTACATTGGTAACAAAGTCATTTCCAGGACTGTCACTGACCTCATCTCCTTATGTGATCTTTAATGATTGACTTCATGGTCTCCCAACCGTGAGAAACCCACATATCTTATTACTGGATCCGCAAACAGGGTGCCCCAGTCGGCCCGTTGTTTCAGGCTGTTCCTATCCCACTGAAATGAATTCTTCATATGTTGCATCTATTTCTTCTCATCTTGTCCAGTCACTTTCCATCCCTTCTCCGATTGCATCACTTTAAGAGTTTCCGGTTGATGATGATCTCCTTTCACCATGGATGCTGATCAGATTTCCATCCTCCATCAAGGTTCTCTGAGAACTCTCCACTCCTTCCTTGAACAAAAGTCTAATGTTCTGAAAAATCACAGCAGGTCTGGTAGGATTTATGGATAGAGAAAGAAAGTTAAATGTTTTGAGTCTGATATGACTCCTCTTCAGAGTTCTACAATCTTAGATCAACAACCGTGAATTCAGTCAGTGGTCAGGGACAGGAGACTGTGACTACAAGCAAGGGAGGTACAGGGGTTCAGGAGGTAGCGCTGAATGAGCCTCAGCTCTTAAACTCATCTAACAGGTCTGGTATTTTTCTCCCTGTGTGGAGGGGAACAGGGTCAATAAGATGATAAGCAAATTCACCATAGTACCATGAGAAAGAAAAGATAAGTGTACTTGTAATTGGGGATAGTATAGTCAGGGGAATAGACATTGTTCTCTTTGGCTGCAATCAAGAGTCCTGAAGGTTGTGTTGGCTGCCTGGATGAGGATATCTCATCTGGGCTGCAGAAGAGCTTGGAGTGGAGGGGAAAGATCCAGCTGTCATGGTCCACGTAGGTACCAATAACGTAGGTACAACGAGGCAAGAGGTTCTGCTGAGGGAATATGAGCAGCCAGTAGCTAACTTAAAAAACAGTAGGAGAGAAATAAACCGACTATGGCTAACCAAGGAAGTTAAGTACAGTATTAAGTTGAAAGAAAAAGCATATAAGGAGGCAAAAGTCAGTGATAACCCCAAATGCTGGGATAAATTCAGAATCCAGCAAAGAAAGACTAAAAAGATAATAAAGCAAGAGAAGTAAACTACAAGGTCAAACAAAATTCATTAAGGAAAAAACTGACAATAAGAGCTTCTTCAAATATATAAAAAGGAAGAGACAAGTCAAAGTGAACATAGGTCCCTTAGAAAAATGAATTTGAGGATGTGGTGATGAGGAACAAGAAAATGGCAGAGCAGTTAAAACAGATATTTTGCATCAGTCTTTTATGGTGAAACATATTTTGAACATCCCATTAATACTAAAGAATACAGGGGAGCAATTAAGTGCCAGCAACATCACTAGAGAAGTGGATTTGGCAAACTAATGGGACTAAAGGCAAGCCTTGGTGGCTTGCTTCCTACGATCATAACAGAGGTAGCTATAGAGACAATGGTTGCATTGATTGTAATTTCGCAAACATCCTTGCATTCTGGAAAAGTACCAGAAGATTTGATTAGCATAGTTACCAAATTGGCTAAAGGGCAGGAAAAATGTGTGAAGATAAGGGGTTCTTTTTCAAGTTGGCAACCTGTGACCAGTGACTTTCCACAGGGATCAGTGATGGGACTGTAATAGTTTACAAGATATGTTAATGACTTGAAGGAAGGAAACAATAGTATTGTTGCCAAATTTGTAGACAACACAAAAATAGGTGGAAAGGCAGATTGCGTGAGGGATACAAACAGCTTACAGGAAGATACTGATAGGTTAAGTAAGTGGGCAAAAAATTGGCAAATGGAGTACAATGTGGGAAAATGTGAAATTGTTCATTTTGGAAGGGAGAACAGAGAACAAAGTATAATTTATATGGAGAAAAACTGCAGGGAGTTGCAATACAAAAGAATTGGGTGTACTTGTACACAAAACAGAAAGCTAGCACATAGGTACTGCAGGTAACCAGGAAGGCTAATGGAATGTTGGCTTTTATTTTAAGAGGTTGGAGTATAAGAGTAGGGGAATCTTACTGCAACTATACAAGGTGCCGGTGAGACCACATCTGGGACTACTATGAACAGTTTTGATTCCCTCATTTAAGAAAATATATTATGTAATTGGTGGCTGTTCGGAGAAGGTTCATTCAGATGATCGCCAGTAGGGAGGAATCGTGTTATCAGGATAAGTTAAACATGTTGGTACTCTAATCATTGGAATTTAGAAGAAGGAAGGGTGATCTCGTTGAAGCATATATAGGCTCCTTATGGGGCTTGACGGGGTAAGTGCTGAAAGGATGTTTCTGCTGGTGGGACAGTCTAGGATTAGAGACATAGTCTCATAATAAAGAGGTGCCAAGTCAAGTCTCAGATGAGAAGGAATTTCTTCTCACAGATGTTTTGTGGTTCTTTGGAACTCCTTGTCACAGGGAGCTGAATGGGTAGAGTCCTTGTGTATATTTCCAGTTGAGGTGGATAGATTCTTGATCAGCAGGGGAATGAAAGGTTATGGGGAAAGGACAGGAAAATGGGTGAGGAATGTCAGATAAACCATGATTCTACTGAATGGTGGAGCAGACTTGAGGGGTCAAATGATCTAATGCAGTTCCTATTTCATGTGGTCTTATGGTCACCTGAGTGATCTATCATCAGTTATGGTTTAAATTCACATGCTGACTTTTCATAACTACTCATTTTTTCAATTTAAAGTATCATGGAATTATACAACAAGAAAGGGCTATTCAGGCCACCATGTCTGTGTTGATTCTTTGAAGGAACTCTCCAAATTAGTCCCTTACCCCAGATTTTTCCAACATAACCCATCAAACCCGTTCTCTTTAAGCAAATATATGGAATCTAATTCACCTTTCAAGATGTTTGGTTCAGATCTTAACACCCCTTGTCTGATAAAAATTATTTAGTTTCCCCTCTACTACTTAAGTAAATTACTATACATCTATAACCTTTTGTTATTGACCCAAAAGAAACATTTTTCCTTTATTTGTTCTCCCAATGCCCTCACACTTTTAATCCCATTTCCAAATATGGTTATAACCATGATGACTAAATTGTACATTTTTATTTTCACATTGCACTGGATTGTGGTCTGGGCAGTGAACAAATAGCATTAACAATTTCCTGCTGTATACTTGTCCATAAGTTTCCAAATCATTTCTATACTGGAAATACAATCTCTTAGTCAATTGCCTAAAAACTTATTGTCATCTATAGGGCACCTAGGATCTGTGTGAACAGAACAACAACTCTACATGGCCTTAATCAATTAATCAAATTAAAGAATTGTGAATGAGCAACATACTGTCTAAATTAATAAATGTCGATTTGAATATTGAACTCTATATCAAAGCACATACATAGACAAGATGGAAACAAAAGTTGAATGTAGAGGGACAGTCATGAAGGGATCAAAAATAAAAACCGAATGGAAAATTTATCTTTTATTTCTGAGAATTCCACAGAATAATTAAAATCTGAATGAATCCCACTTGCAAAAGTTTGCTTTCAATGCCAGAGAGTCTGTTTATGTATAATTAAGATATACCATGCTCTTAAATGGACAAGTACAGTGGAATGGACAAACAATAACTTCTGAGGAAATTAACTTGCATCTATGGGTTAAGTGCAGCAACCTGACACCAATGTATTTAGGAGGTGATTGAATTAAATAGCACGATGCCATTTTCTGGAAAAAAAAATGGAGGAATATTATCTGGGACAGCCACCTGTAAGCTATCCACAAACCCGGGTGATCGTCAGATGTTACGATTACATTTTCAAGTACCCTCGGCTGAACACTGCGAGCCGCATTGTTATCTCCACAGCTTCTGATAGTGGTGTGGGGGTAATGACTTGTCCATCTGACTCCTGGCAATCGCGTGTGGATGTTACTGAGAGCATTTTGCGCCCTGGTAAAGATTTCCGATCTCTACCTGGACTGGTTGGTTTGAAAGAAATGACAATAACAATGTTAGACACTAACTTATCAATGCTGAGAGGCTTACCCATGCCTTGTCCACCGTCACCTTGCAATTAAGATTTTAGGGTTGGTCTCAGAGCATTACATTTGACCAGAAATCCTGGAAATTTTACTGAATGTCTTCATGGCTCTGTCTGCTTGCCCAAATCCATCAGCATTTCTCTGCCCCTTCCCGCTTGAAATGCATATTCCCATTTATAAGATTGCAATGCTATGAAAATGAAGCCATTCTTGAGATCACTGTTACAATCTGCCGAGATTAAGTACCTCTGCTGATGTCCATAAGAACCTCTTGTTGATAAGGTGGCTTGTGAAACCAGCCTGATATCGGGAGAAGCTACTATTTTGATATGGAAATGAGTTTTATTCCTCCCACCGTAACTTGGTAGGAATTGTGATAAGTGGTGTATAAATCACGAGTGCTTCCTGTGCAGAATAGTGACCGTTCCCACCCTGCGCATCTCTGAGAGCCATCTCATAAGGCTATAACTGGAAAACACGTGATGCGTGAGTGTGTTATACAAACTAGCGCCAACTTGTACGTGTGGTGTAAAATATCGCCCGGGTTAAGCTACATGACTCAGTGGCTGCCAGCCTGGAAGAAGAACAACTCTCAGAATGAAGGGGTTTCCTGCTAATATCCTTGAGGTTTCTCATAAAGCTTGTTTTTTTTTTGAATGGGATGACTTATTGTTCAATTAACTGAGGAGCAAACCTATTAATTGATTAAATATACCATCGTAATGACTTAGTCCCTGAAATTTAGGTTATAATGATTACTGTATAGTAATTCGTTTAATCTTATAGGTAAGTATTTACCAGTGATCAGATACAAACATCTACTTACTGCGCCTATCGATACCGTGACTGATACCTTGCTCTATATTAGGAACAGCTTTAGTTCGAGTGCACTTGGTGGACACTTTTGACCACAATTGTTCAATGACTCAGACGTGCATGTGATAGGTAGACTCAATAAATCTTACCCCCCACCCCCCAACTCAAAGCAGCGCAGAGATTGAAGTGAGTGTGCCAATAATGAACTGAACTGTCAACACGGCTCTTCTTCAATAACCAGTGATCACTTGTGTCTGGGCTCACGGAAGAGCCCGCGAACTCTCTCTGCAAGGGCAAAGCAGGCAGTAGTTCAGACCAGGGGAGCATTCCAGAGCCTCAGTGAAATGGACTTCCCCGGTGCCCGGGGAATTACACCAAGCCAGTGACGTGGAACCACAATCAGAACTGCAACTCGCCTGCAAAATAACACTGGACTTACTGAGGTGGGGAGCGAGCACGGAGCTGCAGGAAAATGTATTGTCTGGGATTTGGGAATGACAGAACCGGCTACAAGGGACACTGAGCGGTGAAAACCATGGGCACAGCGGAGGTGATCCTATCGCTCTTCCTGGGAATTTTGATGATCGTGTCGTTGCTGTCCAATGTCCTGGTGCTGATCTGCTTTCTGTACAGTGCTGAAATCCGGAAACAGGTCCCTGGGATGTTCATCATTAATTTGACGCTCAGTAACTTGTTGACGACTGTGCTGAACATGCCATTAACTTTAGTGGGGATCATCAATAAGGAGCAGCCGGGAGCCGACTCCGTCTGCCGACTCGTAGGCTTCCTGGAGACTTTTCTGGTAACCAATTCCATGCTGAGCATGGCTGCTCTAAGTACTGACAGATGGATTGCGGTGGTTTTTCCTTTAAGTTACAATTCTAAGATGCGTTACAAGGACGCTGCCATCATGCTGGGTTACACGTGGTTTCACTCTCTGTCCTTTCCTATTGTGGCAATCTGTCTATCCTGGGTCGGTTACAGCCGCCTATACGCCTCCTGCACTCTCTGCCAGACCCGAACTGATGATCAGACCCAATTTGTGGTTTTTACGGTAGTTTTTCACGCCCTCAGTTTTCTTCTTTCGTTAATAGTGCTATGTTTCACCTATCTGAAAGTGCTGAAAGTGGCGCGATTTCACTGCAAGAGGATAGATGTAATCACCATGCAAACGCTAGTGTTACTGGTGGACATTCATCCAAGGTAGGCAGCCCACGCCGTGGGTCTGGTCCGACAGCATTTACTGCTCTGTTTTCGAATAAAGAAATAAATGTGCATGAATATATTGTAGAGTTCATATCTTTTTTGCAGTGATCCTCCCTGTAAGCATTGACACACACACATTTTTACCAAATAGCAAATGAGGATGTCCTGATCTGTGTGTACAGGTTGTGACTAAGATGTTGTTGTAATTTATAATCATGTTTGTATTTTACTACATTCTACTACATTATCTGCATTCCTGGGTTACTTTTAATTACCACAGGAGATTCCCTTTCTTCCTGCACGTTTGTATTTTTGAGGATACATACCTCCTTTACAGTTTGTTGTTGCCCTGGCTATTCACCTGGAAATGACGGATATATTCGAGAAAGTTAATGAAAATGAAGTCTTCGTCATGAGTGCGCTGTGCTAGTTCTGCAGATTTCTGCGTCGCCTGACGTATCCAAGCAGCCCACGCTCGCAACAATATCAGTTGATAAAAATAAAAAACATCCTAACATTATGCACTCTGCAAGAAAACTACAAAGCATAGCAAAAATAACTATTTCTAACAACCTTCCGTTTTAAAATCCCAATATAAACGGACTGTATCAATAATATAGATAGACATGCGACAGAATGTGGTGCCTTGATACAACAAGTGGTGCTCCTGAATTTATACCCCAACATCTCAAATTAAGGGTAACATTTGTAATGATCAAGTTTCAAAACATTTGTTATTATGAAATTGCTGGACTGGGAGGAATCCCCACAACATGTCAGTTTCAAGAGTTCAGATCGGTGATTTCAGCAGAGTGGATTGCGGAATATTGTTCTGCAAATTCATATTCCCCGATGCGACCTCAGTTGATCACACTTACTAAAATAACCGAACGACAAAATACCACGCGGGGGATATTAGATTACCACATTTCTGATGAAAAGGATGCGCTGACAAATTCTCCTTTTTGATATTATCCCAAGTATTCGATGAATCTGAGAATTTTTGGTTTGAAATCCCTCTGATGTGATTTACCACCAATTTTTTGTCTTAATTTCATTGGATCTTTTCGGCCTCCAAGCAGACAAGTAATCATATTGACACACACACACTGTTACTGTTATGATAGTGATAGGACCCTTTTTCAGCAAATCCTTATGTGTTTGAGTCGGGTTTATTTTACTTTTATGCTTCCCCTGTTTCTTGCTCCTTATTTTTAAAAAGCCTTTGCCTTTGTCAAATACACCAAAATTGATCTTCCTGTTACAGAAAATGCTCAAATTAAGAGAAAACAGTAATCATAATTGACATTTAAATTTCAGCTTGAGATGAAATGCAATTAACTGGTAGTACATCATCATGTGTCACAGCTTTATATTAATATTGAAACAGAAAAGCACATGGCTTTGAAGTTTGTTTCTGAAGTTGTCTCTGAAAGAATATATTTTTCTTCTCAAACCCCAGATCAAAAGTGGACAATGGACTTGGTTTATTTAAACACAATTTCTAGAATAAGTCAAACTTTGAATAAATCTAGAACTCTATTAAAAAAAAAAGTGTGATAATGGAGAGTTGGCTCAAAAAAGGACAGGACTGAATGCTAAATCTTTCAATCTCCAACACATTCAGAAAAGTTAGGAAGAGGGAGAATGGAAGAGAGGTGACAGTATTGATTAAGGAGTGGAGTACTGGAGAGCATATCCCACATTGTTGAAGGACAACATTGATTTGGTGAGAATAAGATACAATACAGGTGCCATAGCATTGCTGGGTACATTCTATAGGACATCAACTAGAGTGAAACAACTTTTCAAATAAATTATTGAGTGGTGCAGTATTTATAAAGTATCTGTAATGGGGGACTTCAATTAACCAAATGTACATTGAAATACTGGGAGTGCAGGGACCAAGAATTCCTAAAGTGAATTCAGTAGAATTTTCTGCCAAAGTGTATTTCTAATGGAGGCATTGTTAGACCCCATTCTTGGGAATGAGGTAGGCCAAATGGACCCAGTGTCAGTAGGGTAACACTTTGGAATAATGATGATTATATTATAAACTTTAAGTAGACAATTAGAAAGTGCAAGGAAAAATCTAGAGTAAGAAGAAATAACTAGGAGAAAACCAACTGCAAATGAGGTACAAATAGATCTGTCCCTGATAAATTGCAATCAAAGATTGGCACAATTGACTGTATTTGAACAGTAGGCTGCCTTTAACGAAGAGGTAATTCTGGCCCAGTCAAAGAATATGAAGCAGAAAGAAAGTGTTAGATGTCAGATGATTAAAAAATTGACAGCTAGTTCTCAATAAGGCAGGGTTATAGACAAAGTCAAAACCTGAAAGCAAAGGGAGTGTATGGAAAGAGATTAACAGTTAATATGAATGAGAATCTAAAAGTCTTCTGTAGGCATTTCAGTAACAAAAGAGTGGGAAAGGGAGTATGATCATTTTGGATCTAAAAAGGGATTTCCACATGGACACAAGGGCAAAAATGAGTTACTAAACAAATACTTTGCATTTGTCTTTACTAAGGAAGTATATGCAGAGCAAGTCACAGTGAAATAAGAGTAGTTGAAGCACTTTATCAGCAATATCAAAAAATAGCTCTTAAATGCACTGACTATGCTTAAGTTGATAAATTTCCAGGATAAGATGAGATGCATTCAAGGATTCTGATGGATTTTGCAAAAGCACTGGCCATAATTTTCTAATACATCTTAGGTAGAGGGTTGGTGCTAGAGGACTAGAATTGCAAATGCTATATCATTGTTCAAAAATTACTGTAATGAAAAACTGAGCTACAAGCCAAGCATTTTAAATGTGACAGTGGGAAAATTTTTAGAAAAGGTAATTCAGAACAAAATTCACAATCAGTTGGGAAAATGAACATTAGTTAACAAAAGCCAACACTGATTTGTTAAATGCAAATACTGTCTATTTAACTTGCATTACATTCATTTTTGATGAAGTGATAGATAGGATGGTTGAAGGCAATGTAATTGATAAGGTGTACATGGATTTCCAACAGGCAGTTAATGATGTATCTCATAATATTTTTTTCACAAATTAGCATTCATGAAATAAAAGAGACAGTAGCAACATAGATGCAGAGCTTAATAATTGGCAATAATGGTGAATGGTTATGGTTTGGACTGGAGGAACATTTATTGTAAAAAATTGTGGATAACATAAAACGTGGAAGTGTTGTGCACAGTGAGGGGACAGTCTGAAAATTCAAAAGTTTGTTAAAATAGGTGGGCAAGTAACAGACTAAAAATAATGCACGTAAGTTTGAAACTACTAATTTTGGCAGGAAGATTGAAGAAATGTAACGTAAAATAATGGGTATCATTATAAGAGGGTGCAAGAAAAGAGGAACTTATGGACATATACGCACAAATCACTGAAGGTAGCATGGACAATTGAGTAAGCAAACAATAAGGCCAATGGAATCATGAGTTTTATAAAGATATGCATAGAGCATGAGAGCAAGTTACCTTTGACAAATCAATATAAAGTGCTGTTTCAGCCTCAACTGGAGTATCGTAGGCAGCTCTGTGCACTATACTTTAGGAAAGGTAAAAACTAGGAGCAAGACAGGGCCATTTGGTCCTTTGAACCTGCTTTACCATTCAGTTTGATCGTAACTCAGATTCTATCTCAATGCCACATTCCTTGTTTCTCCCCATAACCCTTGATACCTTCAAAATCTAAAAATGTATCTATGCTTTTCTTGAATACGTTTAATGACTTGGCTTCCACAGCCTTTTGTTGTAGGGAATTCCATGGGCTAACTACCCTTTCAGCAAAGACATTTTTCCTCGTCTCAGTAATAAATTGTCTATCCCATATCCTGAGACTGTGTCTCCTGGTTCTAGACTCCCCAGTCAGGGAAAACATCCTCTCTGCATCTAGTCTGTCCAGCCCTATTGGAATTTTATATGTTTCAATTGGATTTCCCTCTCATCCTTCTAAACTGTGGTGAATACAGGCCCAGACAAACAAATCTTTTCTCATAGGACAGTCCTGCCATTCCTGTATCAGTCTGCTGTACTTCTGCAGCATTCCCTTTATGACAAGCCTATCTTTTCTTAGGTAGGGAAGGCAGTGAGTGCATCAGAGTACCAAAAATGATTCAGAAGAAAGGTCTGCATGATGGAAAGTTATGTGTGGATTGGAGAAGCTGGAGATCATTTCTTAGAATGAGAGAACAGTAAGAAGAGATTTGATACAAAGCTTCAAAGTCATGAGCAATCTGGACAAAAAGAATGTGCAAAAATTGTTTCAGTTAGTAGGAGGATTGGAAGCAGAGATCACTGGTTTAGAGATCACTGGCTTAAGGTGATTGGCAAAAGAAGCAACAAAGATATGAAGAAAACATTTCAGGACTTGGAATGTACTGCCTGAAACTATGGTGCAAGCAGTTTCAGCAAGGCCTTCAGAAGAAGTCTGGATAATTGCCTGAAGAGAAATAATTTGCGGGGCTGCAAGAAAAAGTGGTGTTGGTGAATTCCTCTTGCAGAAAGTCAGCATGGGTATGACAGGCCAAATGGCTGTGTTGTTACCATTTTGATTTAAGATGTGATTGACATTTATAAGAAATGCCTGCGAAACTAACCAGAATAAAATCCATGGTTGGTCACTTCTGTAAATATACTTTTAGTAAAATGTGTTGACCAAAAACCTGAAGGAAAAGAAATATATTCATTGAACTATTCCATGTCCAATCCCTAAATGAGATCTCTTTAGCAATTGGAGTATCTTTTTAAGCGTCAACCCAATTTCATCATGTAGTCGTTGAACTACATTATGTACTTTGAATAAAGGCATATCTCCTGTACCTGTGGGTTTCTCTACAGGTTTTTAATAATCCAAGAAAAAGATATGAACAACAACGAGAATCAGATAGTGCATTTATCTTCGTAAAAGATCTCACTGTGCTTCACTGCAGTGTTAAAAAAGCACAAATTATGACAAACCACATAAGTCAGCATTAGAATAGGTAAACAAAATTTTGGTCACGGAGTTAGGTTTTAAGGAATGTCCTAAAAGAGGCGAGATAGTTTGAGATGCAGAAATGCTTACAGAAGTTCCTGTAAGTTAACCAGGACAAATGTGAAGTGATGCATTTGGAAGGTCAGGTATAGGTAGAAATTATACAGTGAATGGTACAACCCTTAGGACTATTGATGTGCAGAGGGATCTGGGTGTGCAGGTCCACAGAAGGTGGCAGCACAGGTAGATGAGGTAATAAAAAAAGGCCTATGGCATTCTTGCCTTCATTGGAAGGGGCATTGAGTAGAAGGATAGATAAGTTATGCTGCAGCTTTATATAGCTTTAGTTAGGTGAGACTCAGAATATTGTGTACAGTTCTGGTCACCACACTACTGGATGCTTTGGAGAGGGTCCGGGAAATGTTTACCAGGATGTTGCCTGGTATGCCTATATAGCTATGAAGGATTGTTGGATAGACTGGGTTTGTTTTCACTGGAATGCAGGAAGGATTGAGGGGGTGACCTGATAGAAGTTTATAAGATTATGAATGGCATGGATAGAGTGGAAAGTATGAGGCTTTGACTCAGGGTGGAGGGGTCAATTACTGGAGGACAGAGGGGGTTCAAGGTGCGGGGGTAGGGTAAAGTTTAAAAGGCAAGTTTTTCACACAAAGGGTGGTGAGTGCCTGGAACGTGTTGCTAGAGGAGATGGTGGGAGCAGACAAAGTAGCAGCGTTCAAGAAGCACTTGGGTGAATACAGGAGCAGGAAGGGAATGGAGGGATATAAACCTTGTAAGTGAAGACAGTTTTAGCATGGAAGAGCAAAATGTGTTGGCGCAGGCTTGGAGGGCCAAGGGCCAGTTCTTGTGCTATATTGTTCTTTGTCCTTTGTTCTTAACCAGCTGAAGGCATGAGGACTATTTGTGGAGTGAATAAAATCTTTTATAGGGAAGAGGCTAGAACTGGAGGTTTGTAGGCTGTGACAAGGTCACAGAAATGAAGAAATGTAATTATGGAGCAATTTGAAAACAAAATTGAGAATTTTTAAAATCAAGGCATCACAGGACTAGGAGCCAATGTAGGTCTGTGAGAACTCAATATTGGAACTCTGTGTTAGAATACAGGGAGCTGAGTTTGAAATGAGCTCAAAGTTACAGAGAGTATAAGGTGGGAGGTCAGCTGGGAGAGCTATGGAATAGTCAAATTTAGAGGTAAATGGAGGATACAGCAACAGATAAGCTAAGGCAGGGTTCAGAGTTCAACAATGTTTCAGAGGTGAAAGGAGGCATATTTGGTGATTGAGAGGTTGTAGTGTCAGAAACTTAACGCAGGATCAAAAAGAATTGAGTTTGCAAACTACCTAAAACAGAAATAAAAATTGCTGGAGAAACTCAGCTAATCTGGCAGTATCTTTGAAGAAAAAACAGAGTTAACATTTGCAGTCTAGTGACCCTTCTTCAGAACTGGTTCTTCTGTTTATTTTCCTCCACAGACACTGCCAGACCTGCACAGTTTCTCCAGCAATTTCTGTTTTTGTTTCAGATATCCAGTATCTGCAGCTCTTTGTTATATATTATCACATGCTCAGACATTGGCCATGAAGAGGGATGGGTTTGGTGACTGGGGTATGGAGATTGTGGTGGGGATTGGAGTCAATGATTTAGATCTTGCCAATATGTAATTGGAGGTAATTTATATTTGTCCAATTTTGAATGTCACAGAAGCAGTGTGTCAAATCAGATGGAAGGGAGGAACTGAGAGATGGTGAGGTACAACTGGATATTGTCACCCTCTATTTGAAACCTAAAATTGTGTTTTTAGATATCAAAGCAATATAATGCCATGCATATATTTATAAAGAATTCAATAAGCTAATTGTTTCTAATGCCCTTGAGCAACATAGATTGGTCTGTCTTGGGACATACAAAGGGCTGAACACAGCACAGTTTGCATCAAGTTAGATTCTCGTAATGTAATAAAAAAGGCAGAGTGAAAGTAATGTGTAAAGTCAAGTCACGATTAGACCAGGACATGATTCAATAGTAAAGTCATGTTATGCAAGGATAGCATAGGAAAAAAAATCTTTAAGCAAGTGATTCCACAAATAGCCTCTCTAGTGAAAACTTGGAAATGACGCAAGCATGTGCTAGAGCACAATTTGTTTTTCTCTTGGTCATAGTCAGAATTAATTTGGGTGCAACTAGTGATCTAGGTTATATATAGTTGGAATCACGGCTACCATTTTTCAACCTGTTTTAAGTTCAATAATATAAGAACAAACTATTTTCCTGGCACCACATTAAATAATATTGCTATTTCTATCTTTTTGCATTATTAAATATAAAATAGTGAAGCACTGAATTTAGTGCAGACTATTTTTAATGTTTGCTCATACATACATTCATATGGTTATATTTGTCATAAATTTGTAAAAATCTGTGAATAATACTTCATATTGTTTACATATAATACATTGTTTAGGAGAGTGTCACATTGTTTTACTTCTAGTTAAATATATATTTGTGCTGAATATCAAATAATTGTCAAGTAAATTCATTTTTAATTACTCCCCTTAATGTTTCTGTAAAATTAATGAATTTAGTAACTGTGGTGATAAACAGCAAAGCATATCTGGGGCAACTTTGCTTATTTGAAATTGGAATTTGGCTACTTTAAATATTGATAACAACCGAACATTTTATAAATTGTATATCTTCCCAACTACAAGATCTTACTTGTTGACTTTACATAACAAAATAGAGTAATTGGTTTAGCATCAACTACTGATGACTAAGGGTCAAAACAGCAAACTACTTTTTTTTTATTCTTTTATGGGATGTGGATGTCACTGGTTAGGCTAGCATCTATTGACCATCCCTAAATGCCATGTAGAAGAAGGTGGTGAGCTGCCTTCTTAAACTGCTGCAGTCCTTGGGGTGTAAGAACACCCATAGTGCTGTTAAGATGTGAGTTTCAGGATATTTCAACAGTGAAGAGAGAGTTACAAAGCAGGATTGTGTGTGACTTGTCAGAGAACTTGCGGGTGGTGGTGTTCCCATGCATCTGATACCCTGTCCTTCTAGGCTGTGGAAGGGTTTGGTAGGTGCTAAAAGACGAAAATTGGTGAGTTACTGCAGTGTATCTTATCGATGGTACACATGGTTGCACTGTGGGTTAGTTGTGAAGGGAATGGATGTTGAAGGTGGTAGATAGGGTGCCAATCAAGCGAGCTGCTTTGTCCTGGATGGTGTCAGGTTATTGATTGTTGCTGGAGCTGCACTCATCCAGGTAATAGGTGAGCACTCTGTCACACTCCTGACTTGAGCCTTGTAGAAGAGGGACAAGCTTTGGGGTGATTCCTTTGTGATTCTTAGTAGCAAATGTTTCTGACTTCATGGAATATTATATATAGTTGCTTCTCTATATTTCTTTGCAGTGTAAGACAACGCTGCCTGGAAGAACAGAAACGGCGAAGACAACGGGCAACAAAGAAGATCAGTACTTTCATCGGCACCTTTATACTGTGCTTTGCACCTTATGTCATTACAAGGTGTGTATAGTAATGTAGTCTTATGCCATAGCAAATTCTGCAGCACAATGATCAACTGACAGATTTGCATACTTCACAGAAAACAATATTTGTGAAGCTGGATAAGTTGAATGCAACCTGTTTCAGATATATTATTTTGTTATTTATTCACACTTTTTAAATTGTTGTTCTTGTAGATTAGCTTAAACTGGACGAGGAATAAACCTGGATTTGTCATAATGCATTGGCTTGAAATATCAGAATTTGAACTATGCCTTGAGATATTATGCAGGATGCTTTTAAAAGACAATGACACTGCAAGTAATATTGTCAAGAGATATAAGCCTGTTAACGGGCATCAGTGCGTAAGATAATAGCTCAACTACTTGGGGGTTACAGGGAAGTAATCTCAGTAGTATAAGGCTCCTACACATTTTCATGTGTTACCAAATATCTATTCAGAGTAAGTGAATTGTCGGGACTGCTGCACTGACAATGTTGATTAGATTATTATTGGTAACATAAAGAAAGAATTGTGTGGGAAGTACTTCAACACTGATTTATTGCCTCGGCAGTGAACAACTAGCTCTCATATTCAGAAGGTATTTTTGATTTGCTGGTTTCAATAGTTGAACTGTGGCATATTTGAGCTGCAAATTACACTTTTTTGCACCCTTTAAATATTGGTTTTTGAGCAGTACTGTTAACACTATTGGAAGAAGAGCATCAGCAGAATTAGAGATGGCCACCAGTGGTGCCAGATAGCAGAATGTCAGATTCTGCTGGTAAACAACATACCTGATCGCAAACCTATACCAAAGAATGTGAGGATTAATATGGCAGCACAGTGCCATCATGCTCATAAATGTCTTAGGCACCATCAAATAACTATGCAAATGGCTGCCAAAGGCAGGTCAGCACTTTTTTAATATTGTTTCCTTCCAGGGTAGCAGTAATAACTCATCACTATCAGATAGCTTGCTATCTATAGAAATGTTGAGGAGATTATAAAGTGCCTTATTCAGCAGAGGCAATAATTTGATCACTTTCATTCTGACTTGCATCAAATTGAAAAAGGGGAGCTAAATTCTGCATGTCAGTTGATCTTAAAAATAATCCAGAGGGTTTGTTGTCTTAACTAGATAGTCATTCAGGCCCTTATGCTCAATATGACACATATCAGAATTCTATTCTCAATGTTCAATTTTACATGATCATAACCAGAATAATGCAGTAGAATTTCTAATTCCTTTACCTTCATTTTAAGGCAATTATCCATACTATCTTTATTTTAAGGGAATTGTGAAATTAGGATTATCTGCTACAGCAATGATTTACAGTGATTGAGCCAACCATACAAGAATCAAAACACAGATTCAATAAACTTATGCAACAGACAGAATTATTATCAAATATTAGTATCTTAACAGCACTGCAGCTGTCTTGCCTGATAGGGAGAGCTTTGCAGTACAGCTCTGTCTGTGCCTTACAAATGCTAAGCTTGCTGTACAAATTCTTTTGGGTTCAGCATGACTGTTTCCCCCACAGGTAGATGCCTCAATCTGTTACGAACAGATGTTTCAGCTGATTTTTGAGCCCTACAATATTGTGGCTTGGGGCTGTAACAAAAAAATCCCTGTGTTCAATGAGTTGGATGCACTAATATTCTTTCAAACGATGAAGTAACCACATCACTTGGTGATCTCCTCAGAGGTCAACTGATTGATGCTTTGTTGAGACAAGGCCAAATATGAATTGTGAACCTGCTTTATTTTGCTGTCAATGATTTGAGCATTCTTAACAGGTCCTGGCTTGCTGGCTCTCATCACTGATCTTGTCACTCCAATGGCAAGCTCCTCTTGCACACTTAGATTGTGTTTTCGTTATGTTCTTTAAAACAGCAATACTAGCGATTACCATGAATGTTGTGTAAACTTCAAAAAACATGAGCAACTGAGTTAGCAGTTGATGAACAATACATTAGGTTTTTTTAGGAAATACTTAATTCAGGATCTGTCATATTGGAGTGTAAAATTTGTTAGCTTCCACAACTGCAATAGTTCACAATTATATGTTATTAATTCATATTTTTCATATGTATGAGGATTATTTCTCTGAAGCAGATTTCATAAGCACACTTCACTTTCTCAGATAAGTAGGTTTGAACATCTAATTCACCGAACACCAGACTGACTGTTTATATTGAGTCATTTAGAGAGCTCACATGTTGCATGTAAAAATGTCATTAAATCTCTTAAATGCAGTGGTCTTCATATAAAATTATCCTGCTCCAACTCTGCCATATATTTCAATGTCTCACTCTCTTACCTCTGATTGTCTGTTTAAAATCCATGTGACTGAAATATCTCACTTTAGCCTTGATTTTTAAAGTGAGAATTATTATTTGTAATGTTTTAATTTTATTCAATATTTACTTTTATGCTTTACTTTCTGTTGCAAAGCAGATACCTTTTAACACAGTAACATTAGTGACAACTGCTTCATTAGCAGTAACCCCATAGTGCTTAGTATCACTCAGCTGTTACATGAAAGAAGGAGCCTGTTTAGTCTGAGATAGCAAGGTGTAGAGCTGGATGAACACAGCAGGCCAAGCAGCATCATAGGAGCAGGAAGGCTGACGTTTCGGGACTAGACCCTGTTCAGTCTATTGTGACTTCGCCACCTGATTGAGCATTTTGACTCAATTCCCTTTTCTTTGTTCGAAGGTTTCAGAAAGTTCAGAGTCAAATACAGCATTATGTTGAAGACAGATATGTTTTGCGTCTGTATATATCCTGGAGGTTACTGCATCCCTTAATGAAACAAGTTAAGAACCAACTTGTGAAAATTACAAGAATGGACGATATTTCCTTAGTCACAAAATCAACAGAGTGGTATTTGGGCATTGTTACTGTACCCAAGCCTAATGGTGCTTTTCCAATTTCTGTTGAACTTACACGATTCAACAAGGCAGTAGCAAGGGAAATTCACCTTCTAAAATTTTCGAGAAGATTTGTAGCTTGGATTGTGGATGAGATTGTAGACCTGTTTACCGAGCCAGTGTGTTTGGTTGCAGACGTTTTGTCACCCTGCTAGGTAACATCATCAGTGCGCCTCCGGTGAGTGTCGGTGTTCTGTCCCGCTTGTTATTTATATGCCTCGGTTTGCTGGGGTGGTTGGCATTACTTCCCGGTTCTGTTTTTCAGTGGATGTGTTGTCCCAGTCAAATTCATGTCCTTCTTTGTCCGTGTGTATTGAGACCAGTGAGAATTGGTTGTGTCTCTTGATGACTAGTTGGTGTTCATGTATCCTTATTGTCAGTTTTCTTCCAGTTTGGACTATGCAATGTTTACGATCCATGAACAACTATACTTCTCGCGTGAATGCCCAGAAAACAGGTACTACCACAAAGCTTAAAATATAAACCACCGATCAAAAATTCACAGGCACAAAGAACAGCTGCACAGAATGGCTGCAGAATGATAAGGGTTAAGATCAACGATGCCCACAGCTGCCTCCACAAATACAAGCAGGGAATTGCGCACCAAAAACCTTTATACTCCAACACAACCGACGAAGAATGGACACTGGAAAAAGTCGTCACCATACAACAACAAAAGACCAGAAGAAAGAAAAGAACAGCCCTACAAGAAAAAAGATCCAAACACACCCACAGCAATGACATGGACAACACAAAAACATGGATCAAGAACATTTCAGACCGATGACTTACAGATACTAAGATGACTGTCCTAGTACGCGAACTGAATTATAGCTACAGAGACGCCAAAAAAACCAACTTCCTGGCTGCGCTGGAATCAAAACTAAGTACAATGGACTCACGGAGGAAGACAACAGACCATCAGACAGACCACAGTCCCATCACTGAACAGAAAAGGTAAGTGGAACACATTCAACACAGAAGAGAAGAAAGCCCCTGGAAAGACTCAAGACAGACAAAAATATCGTAATCTTATCAGCAGACAGAGGACGCATGACTGTAATTCTTTATGGAGCCCATTATATCGAGAAAGCTAATGCACCACTAGCAGATACTGACACCTACCAACAGATGGTGATAGACCCGACACCACAGTTAGAGAACCAGATCAAAATAACACTGAAGAAATTACACAACTCAGGAGATATCAGCAAGAGAGACTACCAAAAAATGAAGCCAGAGGGGTCCAATACACACTGCTTCTATGGACTCCCTAAGGTACACAAGTCAGGGGTCCCCTCAGACCTATTGTCTCACTATCAGGCACACCAACATATAGACTAGCCAAATAACTACAAAACAAACTGAAATACTTAGTTGACAACACTACCCACTCCATCCACTCCTCCCAAGAATTCCTCAACATCATCAAGGACACCAAAATAGAGGAGGACAAGATAATGATATCCTTCGATGTAACAGCACTATTTACATCCATAAACATCAACCTAGCCAAAGAGACAATTGCCACACTGCTGGACGAATCAGGAAGGCAGGCACCCCACAACACCAACAGCATCAATAAGGACAGCACCCTGAAACTGCTGGATCTGTGCCTCACAACCCACATCACCTTCGACAACTGTGTATTCAAATGGATCAACCAATTACCAATGGGATCCCCAATATCAGGACTGATTACAGAAGCAGAAATGCAAAGCTTAGAATGGACAGCGTTCCGCACTCTACAACTGAAACTCTCGTCCGCTATGTAGATGACAACTTCATGATTATCAAATGCAATGGAAGAAACCCACTGACATATAAACAACATCCTCACCAAAATAATATTCACAAATTAGAAGAGAACAATAACCAACTACCCTTCCTAGGCATTTCGTAGAATGTAAGAACAACAGGGAACTCCAGACTAGCGTACACAAAAAGACCACACATACGGACCGGATACTTAATTACTCCAGCAACCACCCAAACATCCATAAATGGAGCTGCATTAGGACATTATTCAAAAGGGGCCACAACAAACTGCAGCAATCCGGAATTGTGCAAAGCAGAACAG